TGCTTCGCCCCACTCTCCATCAATCACTCCGTGGATATGCTGCCAAATTTTTTTTTGTTCCATGTTTTCGTGCTCTATCTCTTTCGGTATTCGCAGTGAGCCCAACTTGTGCGAACAGAACGTGGTCCCTGAAAAACCGCTGTGAAGCGGTCAGCAACAGCGCGTCCCGCCAAGTAAACTAACGAGGTGGGTATGTGACACACGGGTAATATTGCTACCGCGAATTCCACGGTAGCACAGCCGCTTCTTGGTGACGTCACACAATGCGTACTTTTATGTCACCCGCGCGCGTCAAGGAGGCCGCAACCACTATATGCGTCCCTTTCTACGGTGACTCGAAAAATGTAGAATGTATATAAACGCGACTATAGACTGTAAAGCTCGTACAACCATTGCCGGTAACTTTACTGTGTAGTCGCTATCCTTTGCTTTCTCTTTTCTTTTATCAAAGATCTTACGGACACTGGGCAACGAAACACAGAGAGAACAGAAACTTCCTTCTCTCAGAGAGATCGCGCACTAGTGCGACCACGTCAACGTATGTAATATAATATATTATTCATGGAGGGCTTCCAGTTGGCGGGGCAATAGTCAAGGTATAAACACCGTTCGCCGAACGACCGGCATGAAAAGGAAAAGAAGGGGGGGGGGGTGAGGCAAATCAACGTTTCTTTTTTCTAGGTTTGCATATGCATATTGTCTCAGTCAATGCGTTTAACTCGACGCAATTCCATATAGCAGACACCTTTGTCGAGGCGCTTCAACGAATCTTTGTACACGCATGAATATGCGAACGCAAAAGTTTGGAGGTATGGGACGGAAAATGGGAGATATGAGAGAATGACAAAAAAAATTAGACGAACGAATAACATTAAAAAAAAATGAACAGAACAATGGAACCACTTGGGGGAGCCTCAACAATGTGGGAACGACAAGAGGAGGACAGACTCCAATTCTGCCTAAAAGGATAGTTCTCATCCACATCCTACGCATCTCTTTTCTTTCTCCCTCTTTCTCGATGTCTTTCTGCAACGCGCGCAATGCGACGACGCTCAAAATAGACGTACTGATGATATGTATTTCAAATAAGAGTTATATGCCAGTTACTAAAAATGCATCGTGCTCGACGTTCCAGGCATGCAAGAACGTATTACGCATACGCACCGAAATTCGGTATATAAAGAACAAAAAGCGCCCCCGCACGCAGCCACAGGCGAGGAGACTGTGGGCGAACGCAGACGTATACTCAACAGGCAACCACGGAGAAAAGTTCGCTTGACTGCTTCAGTGTAGGGCTGTGGTTCGTTGGGCTTAGTTTGCTAGACAAAATATTTTTGGCGCAACTGAGACGACGAAGAAAAAAGAAACGAGAAAAGACAGGATAAGGACTTCTGTCAGCTGCGCCACAAATATTTCGTAAAGATATGCACCGACCTCGCCTAACGTCCCACTCAGCTAAAAATATATAGTTAGCCTTTATCGCCGCACGCCGTCGAACGAACACCTTACACAATATATATATATATATGCGTGCGCGTGCTGTTGATGAGATTATGTGCTATTCGTGTTTCTTGCACCAAATTTTCACAAAAAAGCCTTCTGAAAAGCCCTTCAAAGCGAGTAAGGCGCCAGCGTTACTTCATCGTCAAACACTAGCAGAAATTGGCGTTTCCTATTGGCGTTTCCTACATACCTCATGCCTAACTATACAACACTGACACGTACAGAGTTACCGGAGACCATATAACGCACGTTGAAAAGGGCAAAAAAGAGAGAGAGAAAGAGAAAGAGAACGCGCATCGCTCAGGTACAGCTACGAAAATAGAAGGTATTCCAAGCATAGGAATGTAAGTCACACTCTCGAAACCGGAAACAAGTCAGCAAAAAAAAAAAAAAAATTAACATTAAGAAAACGGGAGAGAGTAGGATACGTGGAGTTTCAGAAACATCTTTCTCCTTCTCACCCTCCCCGTCTTTCTCGGCATACCAAGAGGTGCCGATAGAAACGGCGCCGAATCCTCTAGCGATGCAGCCCCGGCCCTAGTACAACAAAGATCCGAGCGAGACCTCGCTTATACCACACTTCGGCCCTCAGCGGTCCCGCGAGGCTCGTGGTCGTGCTCAGCGGCGGCCGAAGAATGCCGAGTGCAGAGAAACGGTGACGCCGAAGCGAACCCGCGGGCTGTACGCAGTATCGTCGAATGTGGTGCTCATCGATCGGTGTATAAGCAACAAAGGTGGGACGGAAGAGCAACTCCGAAAGCGCAATTGTTTTACAACTGGGCGTCGCATTTTTCTTTCTTTCTTCTTTATTTCTTTCTTTCTCTCTTTCTTTTTTTTCTCTTTCTTTCTTTCTTTCGTTTTTTCTTTCCTTCCTTCTTTCTTTCTTTCTATTGTACACTTATTTCTTATTCCTGTTCAGGGGCCTCATGGCACCAAGAATAATAAAAATACTGACCACAAAATAGTTTTCTATACTCCGGTTCAGTTACGGAGCTCGATACGCAGAGTCGAGGCACGCTCACCGCTTCCCACGGGACCACAAACTCGCGAAGCATTTCCATCAGCCACTGATCCTACGCTATTGGCTGGCCACCTATACGCTAATTAAATGCGCATCTTCGCGATTGGCTGGCAGCTGCTCTCGCGAATAGCTCTAACGTATCAGAAGCGGCAAATTTTCTTCGTGATTATACGGGTCCGACTTCGAAAGCAATACGGAACAGTTAATCATTTCCCTACATGCCCCAGTCATCCAAGCAGAAAATGGAGTTATATACCAGACCCAATGGTTTAGCTCTAAGCCTTTCCCGAGAAAAAGGTTTGTTTGCTGAAGCTGCCGATGTGGATGACAATAATTTAAGAAAAGTACCCGTAGCCTCGCATTGAGCAATTTCTTTATAGAGAGACAAAGATTATATAAGCACGAATAAGCGCAACCGATTGTGTATTTGCGACTCCAACTAAGCGTTCGCCACATGGCGGTAGCGCCTAGAAATGGCGCTAACAGCGCCAACCTCGAAACGATATATGTTACCACGTTGCGCACGTTGAGAAATGACCGCACAGTTCCTATATTTTCGCAATGCAGCACGCGCGAGCCCGAAAAAGAAGAAGCCCCGCCGCACTAGTGGCTAAGGTGCTCGGCTGCTGACCCGCAGGTCGCGGGTTCGAATCCCGGCTGTGGCGGCTGCATTTCCGATGGAGGCGGAAATGTTGCAGGCCCGTGTGCTCAGATTTGGGTGCACGTTAAAGAACCCCAGGTGGTCGAAATTTCCGGAGCCCTCCACTACGGCGTCTCTCATAATAATAGCGTGGTTTTGGGACGTTAAACCCCACATATCAATAAAAAAAAAAAAAGAAAGCGGTGTCCAGAGACCATCGCAGTGGGTCGCAATGCGTGGCGTCGCGGTGGAAAGATCGCAACGTATCGTTCTATCACTTTCCGAAGGAAGCAGGCGACGCGCGACTGAGAACGGCGCTAATCAGTTACGCGTTGGAATGAAGGTGACGGACACTATATGGCAGTTTGTTCTGATCGATTCACTTGCGACCACTTAGTTCTCGGTGAGTACGCTATCATTTAGCGTGGGTGCATTCTTATCAATATTCGGGCTTCTCTAAGCACAGAGTATAAAGTTTCGTTTATCGGGTGACAGAAAGACAGACAGACGAAATTTCTACGTCGCAGTATCCCAAAAAATCCTATCGTTTTTAAAGAGCAACACTGCAGGGAGCCAGAACGCTCTATGGCGGTGTACAGGGTAGAGAGAAGGCAGGAAAAAAAAGGAAAAAAAAAAGAGCAAAGATCGCTCGTTGTAAACGACCGTATCTTGACACTGGTCACTGCTGGAATTAAGTAACAATTGATGTGTCACACACCTTGCACCTCCTTTTTCTCGAATGCATTTCTAAGAAAATTGCCCGTAGGGTATCAAGAATTCATCGGAGAGCATCTAGAAAAACGGTGCTTAATTGTCAACCCGAACATTTTCCCCTAATATAGCGAGAACGTGATCGTGGTATCGCTCTTCGTCATTTATTTGCGTTTTTACTTCTCTGTTCTTTTTTAACACGACAGTGTTTCATGCTGGGGTCCACCACGGCTCCGCTGACGCACTTCCTTCACGGAAGTGACGTTTAAAAATACACACCAAGAGATGGCAAAGAATAAAACCAGAAGCCAAGCATCTGTCGCGCAGTATGGAACCAGCAACCTCTTGATCATCAGCACGTGGCGCTACCCACTACGTCAGAGCGCGCGTGCTAACAGTAAGCCATTCAAATAATCCATAAACCGTTTGGCAGTCCTCAGAGCTTCACGATCTTTAGCGCGTTTTTGTTATCAGTGACGAGCTGGCGCGATCGGCTCACGTTGGGTAGCATTGGGCGCGCTCTAAAGGTCGTCGTCTCCACGAAGTGCCGCCTCCAGGGAGCACGGTTAGTGTGTACCAGAAAAGTAGCATGGTCTTTCCAGCGCACACGCCTATCAGACTCGTAATTTAAGAGAGGACGAAGGTCACTTCGCACGCTGCCACGGCCGCGTCAACGAAAGGAGCGCGCTGCTCGCACACGACGCAGAAATAAATGTGACAGTTGTTCACGCTTGTCTTGCGTATCCTGTGCACTCGTTTCGTGCGTCTTTCTTTCTTTTTGAACAGCGCACTTTAAGTGTTGAACAGTGGCAGTCGCTATATAGTCTGAGTTCGTCCTGTGTATACTTAATTCGTGCGTGCTTTGAGGTGTGCGCTGCAAGTATCGTGCTGCTTGCACGTTTCCTAAGCAGGAAAAGTGGCCGCTTCCGAAACATACGCGAGAATCAGTCCACGTTTCGTGACCACCTTGATTCGACGTCACGAGACGCTCACAATTGAGAAATTGGCCATATAAAAAGCCCAAGATGGCGTTCCGCGAGAATGGATAATTAGATCATCCACACATCGTGCCGAGCTCCTAAACGAAACAGAGTGGAGAGAGAGAGAAAAAAAAAAGAGACTCACCTTCGGTCGGAAAGGCTCCGCGCCGCAGCACGCAGGAAAACGTAAGCGCACTTTCACTGCAAAGAAATAAAAGGGGGGGGGGGGGATGAGGTAACGGTCGCTATAAGCGAGAAAAAAAACGCGATTATTCTTGCATACCAAGAGCGAACAGGTTCCAGTCGTACGCGAGTATGAAAGCTATTTTCACTCGTGAAAGGTGGTAATTGCGTCGAGAGAAGTTTAAGGGAAGCACTGAACAGAGGTACGAACGAGGCCTGCTGTTATAATTAAAAGCTTTCGGGCGATACAGAAACGCCGCTCGTGAATTGCTATTAAATTTCTAAACTGCATGCTTTGAGAATTTAAGGCGACGCATTGAGTTGAAATACGTTATGTCTACGCTTATTTCTCGCTTAAGTGCTCTGGGTGTCGCGCAAACATAGCGAACAGCGCAGCACACCAATCTTACAAAATTATTATCAAGTCAATACACGTTTTTCATTGCTCCTTCAAGACATTAGATATCCCACAAATCGAAAGCGTCAAATCATTACATTCGCGAACCTTAGATATTTTACGTATAACAAAGCGTTTGTCTCGGATATTGCTGTGCGCGAAGGTGGAAATAGTACGAGTGCAGCGGTAATGCCACTGATAAGGGATTAATGAGTCGATTATACGTACAAAGTAATGCTAAGGAGAAGATAATAGCTAAGCACAACTCCCTTAGTCACGTAACAACGACGAAGCCAAAAAATAAAACAGGCTTTGCCCTGTCTGACGTATACCAACCAGCCACACCGACTACTATTTTAGGGTGTGCAACACAACAGCTTCAGGGCACCACGTACCTATGAGGGACAAAAAATGCGCAATGGGAGGGCATGTGGCCCGAAGACAAGCTAATCACTGAGCACTGAGCAACAGACTCGATTTCCAGAGAAGGCAAGATCGCGAGGGAGAGGCAGAAAGTTCAGGGGGCCGATGAGATTAAGAAGCTTGCGGGGATAAGGTGGTCGCAGCAAGCGCGCGGGCCGGGTTGATTGGAGAAACATGGAAGACGCCTCTGCTCTGCAGTGGGCGTAGTCAAGCTGATGATGACGATGACACGTATGGTGTTCAACGGCGAACCCAACGACATTCGCGGCTGCAGCGACTGCATTCACACGCAGGCTAAATGCAAACACAATGGTGTACTTCGAGTTATCCTCGCATTACATGAAACTCTCATTCAAAAAGCAGGCGTTCCATCAACTTGGAAAACAAACAAGCAGTGGCAAGCACCAAGCGTAAAGCGCAATTTAACGTGGACAAACGTAAATACCACCACAGCTGAACCAAATGATCGTAACCCAGACAAATGCCACCCCGAGCGTCGACTTATGCAGCCCTGATGCGGTGGTATACGGTATGCGAGGAAGTGCAGAAAGAAGTCCGCGGAGTTCTTCACTCGAGGTCATTCGAGTGCATCCGAACGCTTGAACTTAAGCCTTTCAACAGATATGACGAGAAACCCTTGTTGCGGTGCACGACAGGGCTCGACGAAAACATCGTGACCCACGGAAGAGAACAGGACAAGGTCGTGCGACCGAACGGCTTCCGCAAGAGAGCTGCACGATGCCGAGTCGCACTCGCGTGTTCATGAGAGCAGAATCTCCGGCAGCATGCCGCATTTTAAACGGCTTCGCCATGACTCACACCTCCTTAACTGCACGCTTTCTCACTCTACAATTCCTTTGCTTTTTCTTTCTCTCTATGTTAACCTAGATAGAGGCAACATTGTATGTTTGTCGCACTTTATAGTGGCATTCGTGGCGACGTTGATTGTCACCACGGCTGTCTTGACAGAGGACAGCGTAAGCGGTCGTGTGTACAAGGTCAGTATACTCTGCATATCACGACACCGCGAAGGAGTGTTTCACTGCGCCATTGTTTGTCGCCAACGATTCAATACCGGAAACTTGGATTACCGTACATGCGCGCTATATGTACGGTATATCTTCACCTGAATGTAAGGCACTTTGCTGAACAAAAGTGGCGGTCGGTTACATCTGAAATCGCACTAAATGTATAACACAATGTGCTCTCTCATGACGTAACAATTTTAATTTTCTCAACTTATGAGCAATTGTAATTTTGTGAACGTGGGCAAGTAACGTAAGGCCTTGCGCACATTGACATTGTCACTGTTTCCTAAACTTTCCTAAAATGTTTTTCGCTGATTCCTGTCTGCTGAGTGAACTATTTATATGTATGCATCTGTTCAACGAAGGCGCTCTGGCCGCTCAGTGCCATTGTAAATATGCCTGACCTCCCCCCCCCCCCCCCTAAATGCAGTAATGCACTGCCGAAGCAGTGACGTCAGCCTTTGTGCGTCCGTGCAACAGTCCAAGGAGGTACTCGCTCTCTCTGTAGCACATTTCGGCACAAGCCTCCTTGCACACGCTCCCGTACACAGCGCCAGAGTTCCATCAAAGTAATCTTTCTACACAAATCTCTATATGACTAAAAAAAAGATTTCGGAAAAAAGCGAACGCCCTGGGTGAGGCGTGACGACCACGCACCACGGTTTTACGAGCTGCAGCTACCAGTGCGCGCAGTTTTAATGGAAAAACACGCGATCATGCGCCAAACCCACAAAAATATATACTCCAATCCCACGCACGCACGCACGCAACCGCGCAGCATCTTTCCCACGAACGGCAAACGAGGCAACAGATTTCCAGGCAATTGCTGTGAACGGAAGCCGCAGAAACCCCGCCAGAAATGTCTACACATATGGCCGGTAAGTGAAAGCCCACACAAGGCCAGCGAAGCGGAGGTGCCCGGTTAGACAAACAAGTCGCAGTCCCGGCCGTACGCACAGTTACGCAGGCGCCCACGTTTGTCGTGGGCGGAATGCGCTTCCCTAATGTCCCTAATGACGGTAATCTCAGACAGCGAAGAAAGAGGGTGGGGTTTTTTTTTTTTAGCAGAGTTGTGCACGCTTGGTTGTCTCAGGAACACAACACGCTATTTAGCGAACCGACCCATCGAACAACAACACAGAAAAGTATTCAGGTGCACGGCCAGAAAGCCCTTTATTTTCCCGCCTCACTCGTAACGAAATTCCTTCCTACCTCGTTGAGAAGGAAAAAAGGCCGAGAAGTCAATAAAGGTACTATATTGTGATCTGCGTTTACTCGCGTCACAACGGTGCTTGGGTTTCCTCTATGCAGAGCCTATATCAACACCATAAAAACCTATTTTAGAATGCGCAGTGAATTACTTTCTGAGGTTGTTCGGGTATCAGCGCAGCTACACGTTATTGCGCTGTTTAGGCAAACTATAACCTCCAAGGTCCACTTTTCAACGCATTTTCGATAGTATATATCATGTCTAATAGTATTTGGATTTCCTCTACACACACAACTTTTGGCACGGTAGAGTTGAGGGGAAACGGGAGCGCAGCACTCACACAATGCCCATGAAACGCCAAACTGCGGGCGGACGCGCCGGGAATAAACGGAATAGCTGCTGTGCTGCTGGGAAGAATATACAAGAATATACACATGTGTTATCCTTACAAAGGTCAAAGGAACAGTAAAAGGAAACCATCTGTTTATCCTCACTTTCTGAAAAAATAAAACTTCGTATGTCTCAATAAATGTATTGTAGCCACTATCCTGTACGTGCATCGTAGCCACTATCTTGTAAATGTATGTAACCACTGTTTTGTATGTAGCCACTATTATGTTAACCCCACCCCTTGTGTAATACCTCCCTGCGAAGTCTTTAAGGAAAGTGAAGTGAAGTGAACTGAGTGAAGTGAAGTGAAAACGAGAAACAGTGACGGAAACGACAGAGCTCCCAGCGAAAGCATGCATATTAAGAGGACGAATGACGTCACGTGCCAAAACAGGAAGCGCGAGAGCCGTTACGTCAAGCGAAAACTGTCCTGCCACAGTTGCAGGAAAAAGCAAATCTCTCGGCCATGATCCCAACTGTAAAGATCGCACTGATGTCGCGCATCCCAAGATAAGTCAGCACTCACTACAGCCGGCTTCATTGAGCCTATTTAAGCCGGCCACAGTTACAAAACACGCTTATGCGTTCCACTTGAGGGTGCCGCGCACTGCTAGCGGCAGTGAACATTTCTCTGAAGACATATTTAATGTGCGTTGTGTGACAAAACCTGCACTGCTCCATGGCGTATAGAAGATTAGATTTGTATGGTGACTGCAGTATACAATGATTTTCAGGTTATATAGTTCAATGGTTCATGGGCTTCGAGCCCAAGATTAAATGCCCCCTTCCCCACCTTTGTGTGTGTGTGTGTGTGTGTGTGTGTGTGTGTTTGTGCGTGCGCGCGCGTGTGCGTGTGCGTGTGTGTGTGTGTGTGTGTGTGTGAAGAACACATGCACAGCGCGCAACAACGACGAACACCTACAGCTAATCTGCATATGAACAATGAATCAAACGAAAATGTACAAAGAAACGCCCTTGCCTCTCAACTCCCTTTCAATGTTATTGATAGCACCACAGAAGTAAATTGCCAAGATTTAAAACTTTGGTCGACACTGTATACGATAATTCGATCCTCACTGAATGAGGTACGACTGTGTATAATATGTAAGCCCGCATCGCGAGTCTGAATCAAAAGCAATTCGCTCCTCGTTGTCGCGAAGTTTCAATCAGGAGAAAAGGAGAAAAGAAGATGCAAAGGTTAAAAACAAAATTTTTTCTACCCCATCCCCCCGTCCTCCTCACGCACACACTATGGGCGCGGTCCCAAAAAAGCGCCCGCGAATTCCATAACATAAAAAAAAAGCCCTTCGTTATCACGGCTATATACGTCGGCGCGACAGAGCCGTTTTCTCTAATTGCATATGCTCGTGTTAAAAGTACAGTGTTCGCCGCATTGCGCACCAAGGTATACGCGTACCAATTGAAACGACAAGAACAGCAACGACAGCGCCGTCATGTTATAGGCGGCCGGCCATTTTGCGACGGGCGAATTCGTTTCTCAACCCTCCCCCTTTCCTTCTGCCATATTACACTCCATATTACCGCCCGAAGGGAGCGGCCTTGGCGCCAT